CTCTGCTATGGCCTGGAAAGGCAGTGGAAGTCCTTGGGCCCCTGCACCCATGTGGAAGACCAGGAATAAGTACCTGGCTCCTGGCTTCGGATTGGTGCAGCTCCAACCATTGTGGCCATTTAGGAGTGAACCAACAAAAGGAAGACCTTCTCTGTCTCTCCCTCTCACTGTCTGTAACTCTACTTCTCAAAAATTAAATCTTAAAAAGTTATTTCTTTCTTTCACATCAGAAGATTGCAGGTTTGTGTCCTGCCGTGGTTGCCACCAAAAAAATTATTTCTTTTTTTTTGAATCATTAAAATGAGAGAGAGAGAGAGAGAGAGAGCAAGTGCTTCTCTCTGCTGACTCACTAAACAAATGACCACCAGGGCCTGAACTGGTCCAGGTGCAATGCTAGAGCTGGGAACTCAATCTGGGTTTCCCAAGGGGTATCAGGAACCCAATAGCCTGAGCTAACACTGCCACCTTCCAAGGCCTGCATTTCCAGGAAGGTGGAGCCAGGAGTGGGAACCAGGAATTGAACCCAGGTTCTCTGATGTGGAACACAGGTGTCTTTACACTAAGGTAAAATCATACTTTTTAAATTAGGTTTTCCATAAACTTTTTTATTATATAAAACAGTGAGTACAAAACAGCATGCTTTAAAGTTTTGATTTTGATTTCCCTACCTACTAAGGTTGGACACACGTTTTAATTGGTTATTGATCTGCTATCTGCTGGTTCACTCCCCAAATACCTGACACGGCCCAAAATGAAGCAAGTTGAAGCCAGGAGCCCAGGTCTCAATCAGGGGACCCATGTACTTGAGCCATCACATGTTACCCCCCCAGGGTGCACACTGCAGGAAGGTGGAATTGGCAGATGAGCTGAGACTCAAACCCAGACACTCTAATATGGGATGGAGGTGCCCCAAGTAGTTCCTTGACTGCTGCAACTGACCTTTGCCCCAAGTTCATTGTTTCTGCTATGCCTCTGTTTCTCCTGCTGAATGAGAATAATAATCTCAATTCCTTGTGCCATTATGAATATTACTTGAGTTTAATGTATGCACAGTACAGATAGTAGCATCTGGCATGCAGAAGGTTCTACACAAGAGTTATGGCATCATAACTATTACTATTGTTGTGTCTAGTGCATGGACACAAAATCCATTTGACTCTCTCCAAAACAGAACTATTAGCAATATGGCTTAAGGTCACATTTGGTATTCTTTCCTTTCCTTGAATCATAAATCTCATTGCAAAGCGACATGCTGCCGAGGTTATTCAACAAACACCTAGAGCTCACCGACTGCCCAGGATGTGTAGTTACAGCTACAACTACACCTTTTGCACTAAAACATCACTCAGAAACTTGTACAAAAGGCAGATTATTGAGTATCTCCCACAAATTCTTATTTGGTTTATTGGCAATGGAACCGAGAACCTACTTTTTTTTATACAAACATCCTAGTTGATTGGATGGAGGAATTTCTTAGCTTGTGTTTGAAAAGCACTGCATAGCAGATCACTGACACTAAATGACAGCTTTTAAAGATTAGTTACTCGATTCTTAGTCTTTAGCTCTCTAAACCTTACAAAGCTTATAAAACAATCTGCCAACATCCCACTTGCTTTAGGAGTATGGAAGATGACCAACAGGTTTGATTTGTTGACTTGGTTTTTCTTTGTCTCATTTAAATTAATTCTTCTCAACAATCAGAACACGAGTCCCCCTGCCAGATGGACAATCTCACGGATGTGGCAGAATTCCTGCTCATGGGCTTTTCTGAAGTCTGGGCCCTACAGATTCTGCACGCGGGGCTGTTTCTGCTGCTTTATCTGGCAGCACTGGTGGGGAACCTACTCATTGTGACAGTCATCACGCTGGATCACTATCTGCACACGCCCATGCACTTCTTCCTGAAGAACCTCTCCTTTCTGGATTTGTGCTACATCTCAGTCACCGTGCCCAAGTCTGTCCACAGCTCCCTGATGCACAGCAGCTCCATCTCTTATCTTGGCTGCATGGCTCAAGTCTATTTTTTCTTTGCCTTTGCCTCTGCTGAGCTGGCCTTTCTCACTGTCATGTCCTATGACCGCTACCTTGCCATTTGCCGCCCCCTCCAGTATGGAGCTGTGATGACGGCAGGGAAATGCTGCCAGATGGCAGTGACTGCCTGGCTCAGCTGCTTTTCCTACGCAGCAGTGCACACTGGAAACATGTTTCAGGAGCCTATTTCCAGATCCAACAGCATCCACCAGTTCTTCTGTGACATCCCCCACGTGCTGGCCCTGGTGTCCTGTGAGGTTTTCTTTGCAGAGTTTGTTGCACTAGCTCTCAGCTCGTGCTTGGTGATGGGCTGCTTTGGTCTCATGATCACCTCTTACTTCCACATCTTCTCCACGGTGCTCAGAATCCCTTCAGGAGAGGGTCGAGCAAAAGCCTTCTCCACTTGCTCCCCACAGCTGGCTGTCACCGTGCTCTTCCTCAGCACCGGGCTCTTTGCTGCCTTAGGGCAAGTTGCCAAATCTTCATCCTTTCAAGACCTGGGAATTGTTCTGGCATACACAGTTCTGCCTCCTGTTCTGAATCCCATCATATACAGTCTCAGAAATAAGGAGATAAAAACAGCACTGTGGCGGCAATTTTGGAAGATACACCCTCTGCCATTGTAGGACTTCTGGTCTTTGCTGTAGAAGGTTTATGATAAAAGATGTAACGATCCTAAATACATGATGACAAATGATGAAAAAGCTGCTGATTCCAATTTGGAAGATTGCTAAATTAACAGAAAATCATCCATTTTATTCTGAATTTCCAATGTAAAAGAATCCAAGGTTATGTGCACAATTTCATTTCTAATAATTTATAATTATGCTTTCCATAACTCATTGATCAATATTTTCTAAATATTATCTTTTAATATTTCACTTTATTTTTCAAATAGGCAAAAATGTAAAACTACAATGTATTTGTTTTAAATTTATTTACTTATACTCAAAACTTCAGTGTAGCTAACAAATATGAGCTGTATATATTACACTATACAATTTGATGCTTTGACACATCGACCCACTACAGATTATTACATCAGGATACTTAAATATCCATTAACTCATGTACTTGTTATGGGGGGACAGAACTTGAAGATCTCTATTATCAGCTCTCAAGTATTTGGTACACTGATAACTGCTGTTACCATGTTGCACATACAGTCCCAGAACACATTCATCTGTCTAATTGGAATGACTGTGGTTCTGATATGCATTTCCTTGATGACTAATGATGTTGACAGATTTTGTTTCCATGCATCTATTAATTATCGACATGTCTTTTTTTGGGAAGTGTATATTCAGATCATTGGTCCATTTGAATGAATTAAATACTTACTGTTGAATTGCTTGAGTTCTTACAGTTTTTAGCTTATAGATTCATCACCTTGATTAAACTTATTTCCAATATTATAATTTTGAAGCTATTGTAAGATAATATTTGATTTCTTTTTTGGATAATATAGTGCTAATGTGTAGAAAAACTAGTGATATTTGTATGCTGATTTTGTGTCCTGCAATATGACTGAATTCATTTATAAAATTAACATTTTTGGCAGAATCTTCAGGAATTTCTATATATAAAATTATATTGTGGGGCCAGCACTGTAGCACAGTAGTTTAATGCCCTGGCCTGAAGCACCTGCATCCCATATGGGTGCTGGTTTGAGTCCCAGCTGCTCTGCTTCCTATCCAGCTCTCTGCTATGGCCTGGGAAAGAAGTAGAAGATGGCACAAGTCCTTGGGCCCCTGTAGCCATGTAGGAGACCGAGGGGAGGCTCCTGGCTCCTGGCTTCGGATCGGTGCATCTCCGGGCACTGCGGCCAACTGGGAATGAACCATCGGATGGAAGACCTCTCTCTCTCTCTGTCTCCCTCTGTCTCTCTCTGCCTCTTCTCTCTCTGTGCAACTCTTTCAAATAAATAAAAAATAAATCTTTACAAAAAATTATATTGTTTCCCAACAGAGATTATTTAATGTCTCTTATTTATTTCTCTTATCTAATTGCTCTACCTGGGTCTGTTGCTGCCATGTTGAATAGCAGTGGCAAAAGGGGCATCCTCAACTTGTTCCTGATATGAGAGGAAAGCTTCAACTTTTCACATTTGAGTAAGATGGTAACCATGGACTTGGGATTCACGAGAGGGCTTCAAAATGTTCATGAAAACAGGGAACTGAAAGATAAAGTTTATTTTGGGCTGAAAAATTTTGAAAATCATGTATGATTTTTCACAACAGATTAGAGTATTACTTTTTCTTTAAATTATATTTTAGGTTTCAATTCTTTTGGATTTAAACACTTAAATTACTTTGACTGAGTATCATGTTATTTTTATAGTTACACTATATTGAATAAACCAGATTTTATGCCTGAGAAGTCACTCCTTTATTAAGTTTTCTTTTGAGAAATTATAAAAATTACTAAATATTTGATGAATCATAGGTGTACCTATTCCAAAATTATTTGGAATCAATATATTGTTTCATATCCATCCATTAACATGTGCAAATGCTACAAAATGCTATAATTCCTGGAAGAGCAATGGAAAGGTTAAGCAATACACTCATAATTACAAGAATGATCACTCTGGTTTCAGTAGAATAACTGGGTGTGGGCAATATAGCACACAGAAACCAGACCAGGAGTGTTTATTTATTTGAAAGGCAGAGACACAGAAACGGACAGACAATTATCAGAAACTGGAATTGAAGCAGAGCTAGGACTTGAACCTAGACACTCCAACGTGGGATGTGGGCATCCCAAATGGCAGCTTAACTGATCCACCAAACTCCCATCTTCCATAGACGTAAATATGAATATAGATACAGGTATAGATAAGGATAAAGATATAGATATAGGTATAGATATAGATACAGATATATATATAGAGAGAGAGAGAGATAGAGAGAGAGAGAGACAGATATAGATACATATAAGTTTGAATCTCAGTGACTTCCCAGTATAAATCTAAAGTAGATCCCTATAATTTTCTAAAATAAAACTTCTGTAGTATTCTTTTCCTTATAGCTCCCTTTATCTGTTGGTTTCTAAGACTGTAGATGACAGGATTCAAGAATGGAGGAACAACAGTGTAGAATACAGAAAGAATTGTGCCCTGAACCATTTCAGAGGTCACAGAGGGCCTCAGATATACACAGGCGCCAGAGCTCAGGAAGACAAACACCACAAGGATGTGTGGGACACAGGTGGAAAAGGCCTTTCCTTGCTCTCGGGCTGGAAACTTGAGCACGGTGGAGAATATACGAACATATGACATGGTGATGAAGATGAAGCAGCCACCAACAACTAGCACGACAGAGAGCAGGAGTAAGAGCTCACTGCTGAAGGTGTCAGAGCAGGAGAGGCTGAGCAGAGAGGGGATGTCACAGAAGAACTGACGGACCACGTGGGACTCACAGAAGGGCAGCTGGAACGTGTAGCCAGTGTGCACGCCTGCATAGATGAGGCCACTGAGTAGGGAAGCCAGGGTCATCTGTACACAGAATCGGTCATTCACGGTAGTGGAGTAGTGAAGAGGCTGGCAGATGGCCACATAGCGGTCCCAGGCCATGGTGGTGAGAAACAGCACCTCCACATATGCACAGTAGATGACCAAGAATATCTGAGTTGCACACCCAGCCACTGAAATGGCCCTGTTGTCAGTGAGGGAGTTGACACAGGCATTGGGGACAGTGACAGAAATGTAACACATGTCCAAGATGGAGAGGTTCCTGAGGAAGAAGTACATGGGGGTGTGAAGGCTCCAGTCCACAGTGGTGACGGTGACAATGAGCAGGTTCCCCAGCAGGGTGCCCAAGTATGTTAGTAGGAATAACATGGTGAGCAGGATCTGAATCTCTCGTGTGTCAGCAAAGCCCTCAAGGAGAAACACAGTCACCACAGTGGAATTGGCCATTTTCTGGAAAGCCTGGTTGATCTGGAAAAAAAAAAAAAGGTCACAAAAGATGGGAACCATAGCTAAATAATAATTATCAGCTAATCAACAAAGTGACCTAAACACTTTCCTTGATAATGTTTACTTCTATTTAATGTACCTAACCTATGTAATACAACTAACAAGTCCATTTTTTCACCTTTTAAATCTGCCTACATTCTTACCACTCTGAAGTAGTTATCATTTAAAGGTGCTAAAAAGGATGGGGTACTCCAATCCGATTATATAGGAGTGAGGCCCAGCCCTGCTACTCAGTTTCCACACTAACAACCAACCCATAATTTTCACTGTTTTAATAAAGGGTGAACTGGTTACTACTGGCATGTTCCTCTGAGGAAAACATGTGCGTAAGTCAGGAAGAATTAATACCAGTCTTTTAAAGACTCTTCCAAAGAACATAAAAGAGGGAATACTTTGAAACTCACTTTAATGACACCAGCATCACGCAGTGTCAAAGCCAGACAAAGGCAGCACAACAAAACAAAACACAGATGAATATCCTTGAGAGACATTCATACAAAAGCCCCTGGCTTGAAAGGAAGTTTCAACATAAGCAAGCCAATCGGTGTGATTCACAACATTATCAGATTGAAGGATAAAAGTCACACAATAACCTGAATAAATGCTGAAACACATTTCATAAAATTTAACTTTTCATAATAAAATTTTGTTAACAAATTATGTATAGAAGAATCTTTGTCCCCCACAATAAAGATCATTTTAGAAAAGCTCACAACTAACATCATACTCAATAATGAAAAATGAAAACTTCTCTCTAAAATTTGGCAAGGATACATATTCTCACCACTTTATTCAAAGTAATACTAGAAGTCCATTCCAGAGCAATTAGACATGAGAAACAAATGAAAGGTGTCAAAGTGGAAAGGAAAAAATAAAGTTATATGAGCAAATGTGGAAAACTCTGAAGACTTAACAGACACAAAAAAACTGCTTTGAGAAAAATGAACTCAGAAAAACTGTGAGAAAAAAATTTATATATATATACACACATATATATATATTGCATTTCTGTATATGAACAACAAAATGTTCAAAAAGGAAGTCAGGAAAACAACCACTTTTCCAAAAGCATCAAACATAATAAATCACTAAAAAATAAACTTAACCAGCTGAAGTAGTTCTGCACTGATAAGTGTAAATACCAATAAGTGAATAAAAACACACAAATATAGGGAAAGGCATCCCTTGTTCATAGAAGTAAGTAATAATTTGTTACAATGACCAGTTTAAAAAGCTACACACAATGCAGCCCCTAAAAATATTAACCCAACATTTTTTATACAAACAGAAATAAAACCTAGAGTTAATATGGAACCCAAAAAATCTTGACAGAAATTTTCAGCAAGAAGAATTAAACTGGAAGCACTATATTTCCCTAATAAAATTTTTTGAGTGATGAAGCCACAGTCATAAAAATATGATACTGTCTTAAAAAACAAGCATCTGGACCAACAGAATAAATAGTGTGTCCAGAAATAAATCCACATCTATGTGGCTAACTGATCTTCCACAAAGGTGCTGAGAGCACACACTGGTGGAAGGACATATCATCAATTAATGATGTTGGGAAAACTCAGTATGCACACATAGAAGAATGAGATTGAACCCTTACATGCACACACACTCAACGTGAAATAGATTAAACATCTAAACATAGGACAGAAAGCTGTAAATTCTAATGTGTGTTCTGCCTAGCCAATATGATCTATTTATGTTTATAATAAGATCCATAGTTTATTTTAAATGTAATTAGAACATTTGGGTTCTTGTGTACTTGAGCTGATTTTAAGAATTAGAGTACACATCTGCTCTTAATACCCCATTAAGTGAAACTCGATGAAGGGCGGGATAGGAGAGGGAGTGGGAGAGGGGAGGGCCACGGGAGGGAGGGAGGTTGGGGGGGGAGCCACAACAATACAAAAGTTGCACTTTGTAAATTCACATTTATTAAATTAAAAAAACTATATAACAAACAAAAAAAAGAAAAAGAAAAAAAGAACTTAATACTTTACCATTTTAGTATTTTTTATGTTCTACTTAAAACTATTGGTTGAACTCTGTAATTAATACACAGTTACTCTTAGGTGTTTAATTAATGCTATAACTAGTACTCAAATAGTATTTTACACTTTGTGTTTCTGTGTGGGTGCAAACTGTTAAAATATTTACTTAATATTTGCTAAATTGATCTTCTGTATATACAGATAATTGAAAATTAATCTTGATGTGATTGGAAGGGGAGAGGGAGTGGGAGAGGGGAGTGTTGTGGGTGGGAGGGAAGTTATGGGGGGGTGGAAGCTATTGTAATCCATAAGCTGTACTTTGGAAATTTATGTTCATTAAATAAAATTAAATATAAATAAAAAAACAATACCCCATTAGGGATGAAACTATCAGGATCTCTTAAGTTGAAATAAGTGAACAAAGGCACTATGAATCCCTTTATTTTGATTTTGCAACAAAACCAACTTAAAGGCTTTTAGCATTAGTTTTCTGGTGATGGTCAAATATAGTGACAGAATTCAAAGGAACAAGTTTTTAAAAATATAAAATTTGTATTCTCATTTTTAGCTAAGTGATCATTTAGCCTTCATCACATATCTCTTTTTTGGAATGAGCACTGTATGCATTCAATGATTTTCAAACATGTATTTTGACTATAACAAAAAAATATCAAAAGATATGAAAGCAAGCCTTGAAGATTCAGCTAGGAATAAAGTCCATATATAACTACTGGCAAAAACGAATGCAATCCCATAAAATCATGTCCAAAGTAATATCTTTAAAAAACTTTATATATGTGTACACACACATACATGCATTTATACATATATATATATAAATACACATATATCAACTACTTGCATGTTGTTGTTTTACTATTGATATCTTCAGTCTTTTCTGGAACTCCTGTACACATAGTCTCTGAACGTCTTATAAGCAAATGGTAAACAAAGGTTCAAAAATTTTGAATCAGTGAAGATGGCATAAAGATAAAATGATAAGCTATAGGTAGATTCCATATGTCGGACATGAATCTGTCACATTCTCTAATATCATTGTGGACATCTGAAATGACAGCAACTACTATAAAATAAGTAGCAAGATTTCTGTTCCTTTAAGGAAATTACTAATTGTTTCACATGAAACCATAAGTTGGGTTTCTGCACTGACCCTCTCCAACTGTACTTTTAACTGGAATTCCATTTCTATTTCTAAAGAGAAAACAATATTGCAAAGTGAAACAAAAAAAAATCTCCAGGAAATCAAAGTGTGAATGAGAGGGAACTATCAAAGGAGGACATTGTCAACAGGAATCACAGTGTTCTCACCCTTAGGTATTGTCTGTGATTGTCTTAGAGATGCGAATTAAGGTTTCTCTTGTTAACTTCTAGTCAAGGACTCAAAGCCAGCTCCCCAGATTGTCCATGCTTACAGCATTTGAGAATGCTTTCAGAAGAATCAAGGACACTCACCTTTTATAAGTGGGGCAGCTGTGATTTCCTGTGCACCTCCAGCAAAGCCCTTGGGAAAACAGTCCTTCCCATGCAGTAACAGCAGGCTGCCCAACGGAGATTTCAGACAGGAAACTATCTCCAGAGCACAGGTGAAATGGAGCCAATTAAAATTTGATAATGGACACAAGGACTGAACAGCTAGAGGTGGTGTTACCAGTGAATATGTGTAAATGGTTATTAAGCTAATGAACTAGAAAAACTAGAGAACGTAAATACATATTTGTCATTTGAAATATTGGGGGCATCTGTGCAGACCTCAGAGACATTGTCCTCTATTTTAAGCAACCCCATTCTCTATTGATAACACATACACATACACACTGCTGTGCTCAGCTCTGAGAGAAAGTCAGAGGAATGGATGGAAATCATTCCTCTGAAAACTTTAAGATACATAAATATATTCATCAGAAAGGCAGGGTATGAACAACTGCCATATATCATGGGCCACTACAACACTGAGATTAACAGTATGATGTCTAGTAGCCATTTCTACATTCAAACCCCAGCTGTCCCTCTGCAGTTTTGAGGATTTGGAAAATTGTTTTCTATTTTACTCTCTAAGCCTCCATTTTTAAGATGTTCATTAGGGACATTATAAGAATCACATATGTTAAAAAAACATAAATTGAGTAACTACCACACATTTTTTAAAGTCTGTGTATTAATAATTGTTGTAGTTTAACACCTTTTTTTAAGATTTATTTTTATTTATTTAAAGACAGAGTTACAGATAGAGGTAGAGCCAGAGAGAGGGAAAGAAGCCTTCCATCTACTGGTTCACTCCCCAAATGACTGCAGTGGCCAGAACTGAGCTGATGTGAAGCCAGGGGCCAGGAGCTCCTTCCATGTCTCCCATGTGGGTGCAGGGGCCCAAGGACTTGGGCCATCTTCTACTGCTTTCCCAGCACATAAAAGAGAGCTGGATTGAAAGTGGAGCAGCCAGGACTTGAACTAGCATCCATATGGGATGCTGGTGCTGCGGGCTGGGGCTTTAACCAACTGCGCCACAGTGCCGGCTCCAACACCTATATTTTTTATTTATTTATTTATTTATTTATTTATTTTAATTTGAAAGCCTGAGAAATAGAGACAGAGACCCACAGACATGGATCTCCCATCCTTTGCTTTCTTCTTAACAGCTACAGATGGGCCAGGCTGCATCCCATATGGAGTGTCTGGGTTAAGTCCCAGCTCCATTCCCGATTCTAGGTTCCTGCAGCCCTGAAAGGCAGGAGATGATGACTCAAACAGTTGGGTTCTTGCTACCCACATAGGAAATTCAGATGGAGTTCTGGGCTCCTGGCTTTGACCTGGCCCAGACCCAGCTGTTGTGGGCAACTGGGGTGTGGATGGAAGATCCCAGACTGTGTGTCTGTATGTCTTTCTATCCTCTCTCTGCCCTTCAAATAAATAAAATAATATATGAAAAAATCAACCCCCGAATGATATGGTAATGCACTTTCATACATTTGATTTATTTATAAGGAAAACTGTTTTTGTAAATAGCAACATTTCCCAAAATATGAATATCATGATTGTTGTACATATCAAGTGATTCTACCATTCAAACTATTCACTCCCTTCCATCACTACAGGACCTGTTGGTTTGCAAAGCTGCTTCACATATGAGATCTTATTTGAACCCATGAGAAGGTAGATTCAGTTGAATAAGAGGTGGAGCAAAGAAGAGAACTTCATTTTTCTCATTCCAAGTCCAGTGGGGATATGAACCACCAGAAAAGACTTTAGGGGGAACTGTTCATTTAGCATAGGCTAGGATTAACCTGCAGAAAAGGCGATCCCAACTTCTCCATGACTTAGAAACCACAAGGATTTATCTCCTGCTC